TCATAAACGGACGATTATCTTGTATATTCAGTTTTGAGCTCGTAGGTCGAATAATTCCTGGAATAAAACACACAGCTCGCCTTTGAAATTGAAAACAGAGAAAGCGTTTTCAAATAGTTCTTCTTCCAATTATACTCTATACTTGACTCAGTTGACTCTATCGAAGTCGTAGTCGAAGTCGTCTTTCGTAATTGAAGTTCAGACAATTAATTCATCACAGAATTCGCTTCCAAACTCAACAAAATAGCAAAGAACTAGGTGTTAAAAGGAAAATAAAAAGGACGATTACTCATCTTAATAGATAAATTGAGTATTTAAAATATTAAATCGAGCGAAATATTTGGAATCCTTTGAGAATGTCTACAAACATGAGGGCACAGGAAGACCAATTTTCGAAAAGTGCAACAAGTAGAGAAGGGGTTGGCACGTTCCACCAACGTCTGGTGGCCCCACGTCTGGTGGCCCCACACCTCTGGTGGCCCCTGTCCCACTTTCTCCGCGGCAATACAACCTGTGATTACGAAACTTGGTAGGGATGTAGTCACGTGTCCTGTCAGTCACCCCAACGATTTTGGGTGTATGACGTCACATATCACGTGACTTGCTAAGATAACATTATCGCCAGTTTTTGAAATAAACCTTTTTTGACGTTATTGCACTACCAAAGYCTTTGTATGCCAACGCTGATGGTAACCAACCCCCTGGTAGCGTGACGTTTCAGGTCACGTGACCTATGAGTAGCGTTTTATGGCTAAACCATGACGATAAACCGTCCATAAAACTACTTACAAAGACATAAGATAGAAAATGAACATTTCCCATGCCGTATTCTTACACACCTGTGGTGACCCCATCGTGCCAAACGTCTGGTGGCCCCACGTCTGGTGGCCCCACGTCTGGTGGCCCCACGCACCTTTGGTAGCCCCCGTCCCATTTTCTCCGAGGCAATACAACCTGTGGTTACGAAACTTGGCAGGGATGTAGTCACGTGTCCTGTCAGTCA